CCCTCAAAGCTTAGTTCAGTATTCGTGTCTGGAGCCGTAAGACCAGAGGGGACTTTCTCAGGCTGCTCAGCTTGTTCTCCAGTCCCTATCAGAATATCACATCTAAATAATCCTCAGAAGATGTTAGGCACTGAACTAAAAGGGATTCTGTGTCCTCTCATTGACCATACTCATTTGAAGTATCTACCACCCAGCAGTCAAGAAGTATAACGTGTTATCCAACCCAAGTTTTCCTAGAAGTGTTTAAGTTCATCTTTTTCTGGATTTGTCTCAGTTGGAATCTTAGAATAGGCTTTTACATACATGAATTCATATTTAACTCTCTACAGGCCTCCCACCTACTCCCACTCTCCCTCTTACTCCTACATACTCTGTTTTTAAAAAGGAAATAAAATCTCTTTCCTCCCTCCCTTTTTTAAAAAAGGGAACACCTTAAAAACTGCTGATTTTTCTAATTTTCATTTCCATAACAGACCTCTTTCTTCCCTTCTCTAGCCCCCAGGATCTTCAGAATAACTACTTAGAAAGCAGACAGCAAAATGGTCCATTTGCCATTGTAATCTGCCCTCCACAGATCTGGTTGCAAAGGGAAATAAGGGTTGAGGGCGTTGTGTTCCTAAAAACAAACTGGACCAGTTGCCATTCTCCTAACAAGGCTTGCGTTTTCCTGCCTCCATTCTTGTGCTCATGCTGTTTCCTTTACCTGAAATGGCTCCCTCTCTGCCTATATGCTTATCATCCCTTTTCCACCTACAAAACAAAACTTCCATCTTCATCTAGCGAAATCTCCTACTTCTTCAAGACATAGCTGGAAAGGCAGAAATGATCATTCACCTTTGAACTCCTAGGATGCTGGTTTTATCATTCTTTCAGTACTTGTCACATACTATCCTGTAGTTATTTATGTGTGTTTTATCTCCTTTGATATATGATAATCTTTACATGAAAGAACCGCATCATCTATCTTTGTGTCTTCCTTGGTTCTTAGCATGGTGTCTTACACGGAGAGAAACAGCTTGCTGTAATTAAAAGAGGTCTGGAATTAAGAGTTAGGAGAACTGGGCTCAAATCCCAGCTTTCCCCCCTTTCTAACTGTGTGACTTTTGGCAAATCACTTACTCTCTCTCTGAGCCTCAGTTTCCTCATCTGTAAAACAGGGACAATAATACTTGCACTATTTTCCTGGACATTTCACTGTAAAGTAAGCAGTTAGTGCATCCTACAGTGCCGTAGGAATGCAAGTGACTATTAACAGGATCTCAGCCAATGTTGCTTGACTACATAAATGTCACCTATTAATGCTTAACAGGCATTAGATAAATGTTGCTTTGATGTTGAATGAATGAGCACCACTAATCATCCCTTGACATTCCCTACTTTCTTTGAACGAACTTCAACTTTAGACCCTCCAATTCATTGTCTTGGTAGAGCCTGATGGGGCTCATAACTGGAGTGTCCATCATTCCTCTGCCCTTTCAGGCCTCAGAGACAAAGACACAAGCCTCCTGTTGTCACCACTGCCTGGCCACGGTAAGCTCGCACAGATGCCCTTGTAGTGTGTGTGTGTGTGTGTGTGTGTGTGTGTGTGTGTGTGTGTGTGT